TGATTCATTCTAAAGCCTGATTTAGTGTATTAAAAAGAATGTGTTAATTGAACATGTTATCTTCAAATGACCCCTTTTATGTAAATTTACTTTCACAAAAAAGTAAAAGATGGGTTAGTGCAGTTCCCCAGAACACTGTGATATTGATTTAGTGAAAGATGACAGGACATTTGGCCTTTAAGTAAAGCCCATGATCTGATTAAAAGCCCTCGTTCATACTATGGTACTTGAAATAAAATCGGTGAGTGGTATTTTGGGGGACATAATATCTGTTAATTTTATTCACAGAGAATCCCAGAGAAAACAGGGCAGTTTGGGGAAAAAAGGTGATACTGATATTATTTTATTATATATTGTATAATAGTAAAAAATTAAAGCGGCAATTTAGAATGACTGTGCTTCTCTCGGAAGCCCCCTTTGCAGTTCTGCTGAGAGTAAGCGGGGCCATACTGTACAGCCTCTGACTGGGAGGAAAACCATAATGTATTAGAAGAACCAGACCAGGCCCATAAGTAGTTACAGCACCAAGATGGCAAAAATGATCATCTTGAAGTTTGCATTTACTCTGCTCTGCAAGATGTATATTAATATATTTAAAAAATACACAAGCAAAGATTTGATTGCATTTCATTCTGCTGTAGTACACTCTTGGATTTCATACCCTCGGAAAACAGTGGTACATTGTTTTTAGGATGCTTTAATCAAGACCTTCATTAGAATGTCACAGTGATACATTTTATGTAATGAATGTCCATGCAGTTTTTGTTTGTGAAGTGTATTTGGTGTTCTTCAAATTCTAAAACGTAAGTAAGTAAGTGCTTTGCAGCCAAACAGGGTAACCACACTCCCTCCCTCACTTACCCTTTGACCTCAAATTCTTGTGAACTGAACATGGCAGATCTTGCTCTTCGTATACAGTACAGTGCTCAGCAATCTAGACAATGCTTGGACAGCTAATAGCTAATCCAAAATCCAAAAGAGGTGTACAGTATGTGCTTTACAGTTTTATGAATAACCTTAAAAATCTTAAATTTAAAAAATCCAAAAAGAAAACAGCTGGAAAAAAATGCAGAAATTAACTTTTTGAACAACAAAGCAGTTGAAAAACTTTATCTGACAGGAAGTTATAACGCTGCACCTCATGGTTATCTCATCTCTTTCTGTATCTGCATAAATGTATGCAAATGTATACTGTATGTGATGCTAAGTCTTTAAATTAAAGTTACTATACAGTATACAGTATATAATGAATAATGTTTCATATCTGAGCATTTCTTCACATCCTCAGCACACTTAGAAATTTGTCTTGATGTGTTGACCTTTCATTCTAAATCTACCTTGAGAAAAAAGTACTGTACTTGATCAATGCTTTTGCAGCATTATTCATTTTAGCACACGTCACAAAACCATTTTTTTTAACTGCAAAGGTACCAGGAAAAAGAACAATCACTACTGTTGACATGAAAAAAAATCTGTTGTGTATTGCCTATAAACTCAATAATACGGCCTTCATTTTGCTATTTATATACTGTAGATATGGATTTTTTTTTGCTGGTTGCTACGGATATTAGATTTACAGATAGTCCCCTGAAGCTCTTAATGCACAAGATCAAGCTCACTACAGCCCTACACTGTAAAAAAAATACAGTATGTGTCACCAAAAACCTTCAGTGTTTTTAGATACAGCTTTTCAGCAACTTTTAATGTACATCCCTCCTGATGTTATTCTGTTATTTTTTAGATTATTGATAACTAGAAGGTTTCTGTAAGAGGGAAAAAATAAGAGCTTTTGGAACCATGAAGCCACTCCTTAAAGCCCATTGAGAGGAAGTGGCAGGAGGAAGTGTGGCAGTGCTACACCAATGGGATTCAGATCTTTCTGCGATGGCATTTAACTTCCCCTGTATACTTCCTTAAGTTAGCTTTGATAAGACTTTGAGATATTTTTTGGGCTATCTTTCTTTCTCCTCTGAGAGTATAAAGCAAACATTAACAAGACGATATTCAGGATATAAAAAGTAAAAAATAACAGGAAGCTGTAGGTGGTACAAACTACCCTTAAGAAAATGGTTTATAGGAAACCGTCATCATTGTCAGCATGATGAGTTACGTGTAGAATATATGTACATTATACATTAAAAAACAGCTCCTCTAACTTTATAAATCACTTCATTAAAACCATACTAAGGTCTTGATCCCACAGTACTTGTGCAAAGTATTGTTCTCTGTGCTTGTGAGCGGCTCCTCTGCAGTTCTGAAATACCTGCTGTTTTCTTGCACTGAGGCCCGAGTCATTGCTAAGAATAAAGAGAAGGCTCCTATTATCATTTTCTGGGAAGTGGCAGCATATAATTCTTCATGGTGAAAACATGAAAGTGTTTCATAATCAAGTCAACGCTATTTTTATAGAGAGTTTGAGAGCATTGATAGTGTTGAGCCGCCCATTCGTGGAAGTTTTCCATGGTGGTTATAGATTTGAAAAATTCACAAAGTTCAGTTACAGATATTATTGAGGTCTGTGGAATGCAGCAACGTTTTATTTCAGGATTAAATGGAAAGAAGGGATTTTTTATTTTACAGTAGCATAAATAATGGAACATTGTTATAATATTGCAGACTCTTGATTATTTGCTATAGAGTATTCTTTACACAGCTTTTGTTTCTGGATTTTTTTCAGAAAGTTCCCATTTGCACTTCTCTGGCGGAGAAGGTGAATGATTTTATGGTCTTTTCTAAAACAAGTAATATCCCTTCAAGAAGGTCCTGATTTCAATTAGCTTGTGAAAAGTTGATCCAGTAGCGGTTCTGAATCTGAAATTGTCAGAAAAAGCTTGTTGTTCACTGTTGTTAGCGCTTATTGCTGACACGACATTATGTATGCCTGCGCATGACTGATTCTTTCATTCTTGTATTACATTGTCTGTCTTGTAATACCATTTAAATAAGCAAAACATGATATCAGCCAACAAATGCTTTTGTTTTAATTTGTGGCATAGTTCTCCTATTGTAATTCATATTGCAGCGTATTAACATAGTGCCCTTCTATTCACGACAGCTGGTCCAAGTGTAATTGGAAACTAGGATGGCTACAGCTTTTCAGCAAATTAAAAATAACCCCTGTGGAACAGTGAAACAGACTGGTACAGTACAGGAGAGCTTTGTATTGCATGAAATAAATTCTTTCCAATGCCTTACTTCAAGCAGATACTTCAAATTTGTTATTACTGCATTCATCCAAAGACCAATTAAGGAGGAATATGTGATCAGAAGGTGTACAGGTTATTCATTTTGTGAAAGTGCTTTGCATCCACTTAAATTATGAGTATTTCAGATTAGATTTGCACGGCATCTCAAAAGTCAAAGTCAAAATTGTAAGTATTTTTTTACATGCATGAAAAAAAAAGATTTAAGAAGGCGACCGTCCTTTAACGGAGTAAGCATCGGTACTTTCTTTCACCTACACGTGTTAAGTAGATCCTTTAAAACGATGATATGATCTTGTGGGTTGAGGGTGCGACCCCTTTGTATTAGCCCTGATAGGGAAAGTTTCAGGCTTGAGTAAGGCAATGCAGACTGCTGTGGTTGCTGCTGTTTGAAAGATGGTTGAAACAGTCTTGTTTATATCTGTACTGAGGGAGTCAATAAGACCCCTCAGTCCTTTTGTAAAGAATCCTTTCTGAATTTCCCTGAACACTTGTGATCCAGTGGGCGCTGGTTTAGCCGCTCTCCCTACCGTATGTCAGATGCAAATGATGTGATTGCTGGGGCCATCCATTCTTTATTCTGATGTGTTCAATTGTAATAGCGTTTGTGGAGTCCAGAGAGGTGGTATATAAAAACACAACAGGATTGTGTTGTGTGTGATGAAAGAGATCCAGCAAACTGCTCATGGCAGAATCACATGATATATCACATTATTTTGTTCCTCCACTGTATGCACTATTTATTGGGAAGGCTTTTTTTCTTAGTACTATGGTACTGTGTGATGTACGGTACACAAGAAGACATGCATCCATATGCTCGCATTGTGATAAATACGGGCACAGCCCTTCCTTGTTAAGAAACAGTGTTTCAAGTCTATGCAAGATAAAACAGCTACCTATACCTGTCTGCTAGATCTGGCCTTTCAATGAACAATACCAGGGAAAGTCCCTCGCACCTGGGACAGTCTTCAGTTAAAAATGAAGAATGGGAAACCAAATTATTTGCTTTGAACAGCTGTTTTAGCATCTACCCTGCTGTGTTTGTACTGTCAGCATGAGTGCTTTTATTTAGTTTATTTAGTTTTAGAAGCAAAAGAGAAAACCTAACGACTCATCTCACCCAATTCCGTCCAATTCATGTAAAAATACTTGAAACTCTCTTTATTTCTCTCTTCTCTTCCTGCATATTTCCTATAGCACTTGATGACAGTTGTGATGGGAGACTGGAGATGAACGCTGAAGTGTAGGGTTTGGGGTCTTGGGAAAGTATTAGTCTCTAGTAATTTAAATCGAATGCCTTTTTCCTTTAAATCATAGTAAGGACTTTGCATACCAGTTTACTTGGTAAAATGCCCTCAGCTGCTAAACAGACCTAGACAACTTTGGGCATTTTACTGAGATGGGAATGAGGGAAATGAAAATATACTAGCATTTGTTTTCTTTCCAGATTTTTTGTAACTCTTCAAATGTCTCTGGTACCTGCTACATAGTGCGCTTTTATATTGAAAACTCAGTGACTTGTAAAAAAGTAGTCTTACTATTTAGAGAGCAAATAAACCTATTATCCTTTGGGTCATTGTGTTTAAATCACCTGAGCTCCTCTTCCTGACCTAATTGAGGTAATTACTATACAGTATGTACTTAATTAGTCCAACTGTTTTTTAGTCTTTAGCTAAAGAGGGTTTTAAGAGGGATCTGGGTTCTTACAGGTCTTCTAGATCAGGAGTGAGTATTGCTACATTAAAAGTTTTAAAGGAGTTGGATTTGTTGTGATGTGTTTTTCTGTTTGTGGTGCAGTATACAGGCCCTGTCCCGGCAGAGAGAGAGCCTCCGATGGCGCGGAATGAGACCTCCCCAAACAGGGCACAACAGGCTGGCCACCAGCGTCCCAACACCTGCTGCTTTTGCTGGTGCTGCTGTTGTAGCTGCTCATGGTACGTCATACAATCTATTTGCTACGAAATGCGGCGCATGTGTAGCAGGTAAATATACCTGTGAAACAGCTTGTTTTCCCTTTCTGTTCCTTTGGAAGTTGAATCATTTTTGCTGTTGTTGGTGTTGTTGGATCATCTGTCCATTGGGGAAATGCTCTCAAAATCATTTTTTGGAAGGGTGGTGACTGGGGAGATGTTTTTTAGTGCCTATGCCCAGTTTAAATGGATAAATATGCAAAAATAACTTATTAATGACTCAAGAAACAAAATGTCTTTGAAAATGTTCACTGAAAGCTACAGTATGTAACAAAATGTTATTCTTCATAGTTTGTTTTATTTTTAAGGCAGAATATTAAATATATAGGCTCTGTATTATTTATTTTATTCTCTTAGAAGGGTCAGTAAAGCAGTGTTTTTTTCAATACTGAAACCTTTACAGTGAGCCTCCATCTCTGTATCATTCCTAACAAGTACTGTAATACCTGAAAAAGGTTCATTTGCAATCATCTATATTTATATTAAAAACAGATACTGTATTTTATTGTGTTTTTCACTGCTGTTTTGCATTTATATATGAACTTGAGTGCAAAATAATTGCTCAATAACAGCAGAGAATATAGCATCCTAATTTCAAGGCCTACAGCTGATGAAAACTAGCTTATAAGAAATATACAGTACTGTTGTTTTGTACAGAGGCTGGGACTCCAGTGCACTTTGTTATATTTTTTGTAACTGTCACTTCATACAGATTTGTGATTTATTTATGTAACTATTAACCCTCATTTCATAACCTGCTGTTTGTGGTGTCCTTCAGAGTGATTTTACATTATCAAAGGTGCTTTTGAGTGATGAATCCTCTTTATTGATGAAATCGCAAGGTAAAGGTGAAAGGTTAAAAGGGAAATGTATACAGTATATGTTTTCACTGGAAATCATTCTTGAATCATGGCCAGCTCAACCAAATCAATTGCATTGGATTTTAACTCTGATATTAACTATCAGCAGAAAAAAGTGACATACAGTAATGCCACTGTACATCTTTATCCTAGGGCCTGTTATGTAAAGAATGCAACTGTAATAAATGTATTATTTCGTTGCTTGCTGTTTTGCTTTTAGGTTATAGGCTTTCTTGCCAGTATAGGCGGCCGTGTTCATGGTCTGGGCTCCAGTTCCAATTTACACTCAGCTTGGATCTGATGTGAAAAGGGGTCAATGCTCAAACACACACATTAAGTCTAACTGTAATACAGTATGGGATAACTCCTTCATAAGGAAATCCATGTGTTATAGGATTTTTCTGAATGAAACTGTTGTCCCTGGAATCGTCAAATGTGTGTCCCACGTGATTTAAACCATTTGTCAGCTTTTTTCTTTCATTAAAACTCTTCAGTAACCTTATAGTACACAATGGCTTGAACTTTATTTGGTGGTAGTTTGGAGGTATCAGAATCTGACAACAGGGCAGATTAAAGAAGCAACAAAAAGATGCTTTACAAGACTAGAAGCTGACTGACTGTATTTGTTGCATTAAGTCACGTGATTCGTAATGCAGTGATTGCAGTATTGGTTCAAAGATTAAGTGTGGTGTTACCTTCCAGCAACATTACTGTTGTTTTAAACCAGGTTGGATTAAGATGAACAGACACATGCTATGGTGTATCTTGTTTATATATACAATATCAGTATACAACACTATGTTACGAGTTTTTCCTGTTTCAGAATTTGACAACCTTAGTAATTTTAATAATTGTATATTCTGGCTACAGATATAGTTCAGTATGCAGTATATTTGCCTTTGTTCATTTAATCCATGCCACACTTTTTCACAGTACTAGAAAAATTCAGTTATTAAGAGTTTATTATTTTCTGGTTGATAAAAAAAACCTGGTGTCATGAATATTCACTTTTAATAATCCAAGAAAAGAAACAGTGGCAAGCAGCAGGACAATTACTAAGAGACTTTGGCAAAATCATGGCGTCATTTCAGACATACGATAAGTGAACCTGAACATCAATGAGTGCAAAGTGATGCACTGTGGTCCTAGGATCTTACCTTATATATCTCAGGAGTGCTTCTGAGCTGTGGAAAGCTGTGTAGAAAGGGAATCTGGATGACTATGCTGGATTTTCTAAATCCCTATCAAGACAATGTGGAGACATAAAAAAGGAAAAAATCCTTGGGTATATACAGTACAACTGTAACAGTAGCAACTTTAACTCCAGGGAAGTTATGCTTAAGCTTTACAATGCACTAGTAATACCTCACTTAGAATATTGTCCTTGTACTCAGTTTTAAGCATCATAAGACAGATACCTTAAATATTAAATTATCAAACAAACAAAATGGGCTGAATGGCCTCTTCTCGTTTGTACCCTTCTTACGTTAAATCCTTGCTCTCTGCTGTGTGTTCTTGAATTTGAAAATGAGCCCAAACCAATCCCTTTTATCTGGAAACCAGAGTTGCATTGGAAGAATTCCGTTTTGTCATTGTGAAGCCCTAACATGACTCTGCATGGGTCTCCTTCCTTTGCACAAAATGCACGGTATCTGTTTTGTTTGAAAATAGGTCAAACGGGACCTGTCATAAACATGAAGAGGAAACCACCAAAAAAACTTTACCTGCAGGAATGTTTCCAATAGGAGACAGACAGGTACAGTACTGTAGCACTGCTGGGATGTGGAAGCAGTTGGGGCATGCTGTCAAAGCAGAGCCAAAAAGTTATTGCTGTTGCTTGCTATAGATTGCACTGCAAGACTGCACACCTAACTCACACAATCTGACATTCACAATGGAATGTTGGAAGTGGGCCAAAGAACGTACCGGGTATTGAAAACAAATTTGCGATCCTCTCCTTATTGTTTCTTTTGCTTCAAGTCCCTTGTCATTTTGTTAGTGCGTATCTAGGACATAATGATGAGCCTGACAAATTTAGGTTCTTTTTAAGAGGCATCTCTTTTGCAGAATCACATGTTTATTGTCCAAAACTAGGGAGCACAAAGGGCTTCACAAACAAATATTTCAGGCAGGAGGATGAACACTTTTAATCTCTTGCATCTGGTTTCTAGCAGCAAGTGTGATAATGTACAAAGTACAGTATTCGTAGGGAACCCCCCACACACACGGGCACCCCCTCCCAAAGGAAAAAAAACGTAAGTGACTGCAGACGTAATGAGACATGAATCTTGCATGAGAATATCTGCTGTATGAATTATGAAGAGGAAGATGTTTTTTCCTTTAAAATCAGATGTTGGCATTACAACTTATCAAATTCACGTTTATTAAAATTAGCATGGGAGAAAGCTGCTTTATATTGTTGCTACTAAGAAAGTAACATCAGTACCAGTCATGTAAAAGCATTCTCCAAATCGAGTGGTTATGAATTGTGTTTCCTGCAGACTTTGGAATGCCTTACTTATTAATTTAGAATAAATAAAAATTCAGGCTACTTTGCTGTTTGATCCCTTTTATAGACCTGCACCTATGTTTCCAAGACATTCTGTTCAACTGTTGGAAACACAGCTCCAGTTAAACAGTTGTACTTATTTTTGTAATTACCAGATGTAACGTAACAACCCCCCTAATTAAGTCGTGCAAGTTCAGACTAACCGCATCAGGCACTTAAGTAAAATATACTGTACAGTATGTGATCGGCTTCACTGTGCTGGAGATGCAAACACATTCATAGCATTTTATAGCTGATTTCCTGATAAGGATAATTTCAAAGTCATGTGATGCTCCATCACAAAGGAAACCATGCAAATGTTCTCAGAACAAAAATATACAATTATTTCCAGAAAATACCAAAAACTTTGAACATTAACTTTAACCCTGCATTCTGTTGAAAATTCACTGCAGTGTTCGTTTCACTGTGGAAAAGACAATTGTAGACCACTGAAGATAATTTCAGCTGTGAAATCTTTTAGGAAAGGACAGTACTCTTAAGATGTTTTGTGTGTGCTTCAGAAAATCCTGAAATAATCCACATCTGCACATCCCCTAAAGGAGAGTTCTTGGTATTGCATTGGCAGAAAGATTTGGCAGCTTCTGCTGTTTCTACTTGCATAGAGCCGGTACCCTGCTGCCTGGAAAGCCAGTATAAAGCTGCCAAAACTCTTTAGGAAGTACAAAAGATTGTATTTACTTTCTTTCCTTCAGTCAGTTCAATGTTATTGAATGCATGGGAATACTCTGACCATTCACTTTCTCATAGTAATTATTCTACACTTACTGTAAGCGACATAAATCTGTTTGAAATATTTATTTGTGTCTGATGCCAATTTACTGGATTTGAGAGCTTGCTAGCTTGCTGTCTGAAAATAATTAAAAACTCAAGTGATACATTCACTATACTCGTTAAGATTTATTTCAAATGCACTTTGATTTGTATAATTAAAATAATTTTAGCAAACGCTCACATGCAAGCCTTATGCAAAACTTAAATAAGGGGAGGGTGTGAGATTTTAGCCTTTTGGAATCTGCGGTGCAGTGGCTGTGCGTTCAGTACTTGTGTGTTTTAATTAAAGTAGTTTTGGTAGTTGGAAATGAAGAAGTAATAAGGAACTGTTTTTGGTGGCTCTCATAATGTGACGTGTTCTAATTAGGGCTGCACTGAGGCATGGTGAGATGCACTTGATCTTGCAGGTGGAGGTTCATTTCAGGAAATTACAACTCGCAGGCTGTTAAGACAAGAAATTCTTCTTTAAGGAAGTAGATGGGCCGACTGCATAGCCATGCCCTTCTTTGCAAAGGAAGAACCTTTATATCAAGCAAGACCAGAGAAAAAAAGCTGTGTTGCAAACAGGAACCATTGTTCATTCTGTGGTTTGTAATTTAAAATGAAGTTAGCCAAAATTCTGAGTAAAGCAGTTAGCAGACATATTGAAACAGAGCTCAACATGCCACCTGCAACTCACTCCAAAGGCTGTGTTATAAAAAATGCAATCACTGTTGCACAGCTTTTTGATGGCCTTCTTGTGGAAAGCAGTTTTCTGGTGTATTCTTATTTTGGACTTTAGATTGTATATGAAAAAGAGAGTATTTTCTTTTTGCATTATACTATATGTACTTCTGTAATATATATTGTGTAGTTGTCTTCATTTCTGCAGATGCCAACATCACCACGAAGTCATCAAAACGGAGCAGGAAAGAGGGTGCACAAAAGGGTGTTACTTTTAGACATAAAACCAAAATTAAGAAGCATGTTCTAAAAAGTTCATTCTCCTTTCCGTAAGCTGCCAAAAACTGATCTGACCCAATGAATGATTTATTGATGATCGTGGTAGCAGTTTTAATTTAATATCAAATGCCAACACTCAGTGATGGGTGACTCGTATTATTACTTTAAAATTACTAAAAATCTAAGCCATTACATAAAAAAGACATAGCCCACACTTGATTTTTTCATAGTGCGGTAGAATAATGAGTTGAATCAAGATCATTGTGCGTTATTAGCGGTTTGACGCGTCGGCTTCTAGGAGGAAGCAGAGACAAGTATCAACTCTGGGCCATGAGCTCTTCTCCATGTGAAACTTTCCTAATGTCACTTTGAATCCAGTAGCAGCCCTGTTGCTATTGCTGTTGCTGCGGGCCTCCAGTTAAGGGTGAAAAAGGCATCTTTCTACAGTACGAGTGTGGGCTGGAAGAAGAAGACACCAGAGGTGACTTTAGTAAGCGTGCCGTTATTTCTTAATGCCGTTTACTACCTTTCAGTCTTACTGTTAGGAATGAAGATGAGAACCGGACACGAAGGAAGTCCCAGGAGACCAAGCTGGAGACCATACCAAACTGTGAAGCTTGGTGAGTCTGCTTCTCCTCCGTTTTTTTTTACATGTATTCTCCATTTCATTAGGTTTTTTTTCTTTTAACCTTCAATTTGAATCTGACTTTCCCTTTATGTTATTTATTTTATCTACATACCTCCCTTTTCCACATTTTTCCACAGGATGTGGTCCACATTTTTCTTGTTGTGTTAAGAGCCATTGTAGGTTCCGCAATAGTTTGAGCCAGTCTTTTACAAAAAATCCATCCAATAAATGATTGAAATTTAGTTGGGCCTGCTGTTAGGACATGAACCTGACTTTTTTTATTCCCTCTGCTGACCAGAATTACAGTATGATCACACAATATGGTAGTTATGTTATGTTAGAGATGTAGTTCTTTAATAACTGTTGCTTTGTGTGACGAAGTCGAAGATGCTGGAGGGGTGAGAGACGGAGCACAGCATCTTGAATATCACTCCAGTGAATGAAAGAGTCCTGTCAAAATCTTCCTAAATCCTTGTGAGGATGCAAACACTGGGGAAGAGTGGATCTCCCAGTATATAAACTGAGTAAAACCAGACAGCTCTGGTCATCAGCATCAGGTTTAACACCGGTAAACTCATGGGTTGCAACAATCTTAGAAAGGGAGAATTTTATTTAAAAACTAACAAGTTAGAGGTGACAGCTATTCGTCAGATTCCCAACGTCCAGCCAAAAGGTCTCCTCTACGGTATATGGTATATTTTTTCCCGTCCACTGGAAGAGTCCTGTCTGCTTCACACCATGGAGCCTTGCATGTTGAGTCACTTAACGTTCTCTTCTAAATATCAATGTGTTCATTGTGAATTTAATGTGAGCGTAGATTTTTATTTTTAAAAAACATATTCAGGCAACTTGTAAAAATTTCACTTTCTCCTGTAGTTCATTTTAACTCAGCTCTGAACAACCAAATCAGCTTACTAGTGGCTTAATTGGTCACCAGCTTCTCAAGTGAAATTTCTAAGGATTTTGACTGGGATGCATGTCCCATTTGTAACCGTCCCAGGAGTTGATCCTGGTTAGTTAATTTTATCCAGTCTACCCTTTGTGTGCTCAAATAATCATGCACCGCAGGTCACAGTTAACTAATGACATGGCCTGGGTTCAAACCAGTGACATGGACCACAAGGCTCATTAAGGCACATGCTCCCAGCAAGTACCTTAAATGGTGGAGGCACTCGGGAGACCTGGCAATACATTTCTCTCTTTCTTCTCATGTAGCACCAAACCATCAACAGAGGAGATGCGCATTTGGGCACAGTCCTTTGACAAGCTGATGAAAAATCCAGCAGGAAGAAACGTCTTCAGGGAATTCTTAAGGACTGAGTACAGTGAGGAGAACATGCTGTTTTGGTTGGCTTGTGAAGACCTCAAGAAAGAAATCAACAAATCGGTCATTGAAGAGAAAGCACGGATGATCTATGAGGATTACATTTCCATACTCTCACCCAAGGAGGTAATATGTGAATGAATGCAATCATTAGAAATGCTCTTAATGATGCACAGACTACACACATGTTTAAGTCAGTTACGTAGAGAACCAAAGTCAGTTCATAAAAGAAACTGTCTTTGATGTATATGTTTAGAATACCAGCAACCCCGTGACAAGAGATTGCTTTAATCTACAAGCCACTCAGTTTTATTAGTACTGTAAAATAAAGGAAACATTATACATATAAGACTTTGTTAAAAGCCTGTTGGGGGTGGAACCGAATCGCGAGACTTACTTTTTCACAAGTGTCACACAGCATGCATGTTTTTGCCTGTTAGAAATGACATTTAAGATATGCGTAGAATAGCTTTTCAGAAAGGGTTACTTTCATTTCCTTAAAATAGCTTTTTTTCTGGTCATTGTGTTGAATAAGAATGTATTGTTTTTACTTAATTATTTCTCTTTCCTGGAATTGTTTTTAAAACAGCTATGCGCTTTGAAATTGTGATTTTTTCATATAATACAGTACATATATTTTCTTTCACACATTAGTCTGTAGTTAATTTCTATGCTCTTGTTTCTGTGGTTAAATAAGCAAAGAGGGAACGGAAACCTTTTGAATTCCAAAGGAAATGAAATGCACAAAAGCAATTTAAGAGTCTGATTAATGTTTAAAAGATGTATTAGATATGTTTCATTTCTATCAAATCGCAATTGCTTTTTTTTCCTCAGTTAGAATGAGTTCAGTATATAATCAATACGATTCTTTTTATTATACATGCTTCTTAGCTGTAGCTATCTCTAGCTATGCTGGAGAACAAGTAATAATGAATTTTGGTCTATGTGGATGGAGAAAGACTTTATTGTTCTTTTTTAACTGAAACGTTAGCCCATGTAGTCCAGTACATGTATGAGCTTTTTCACTGCACTCATATAATGTTAAAGGCAGTACAGTTTATACAAAGGTAGCTTAACCTGATGTCCTTTTGGGAAAGGTTTAATGAGAAATATTATTCATCAGTTACAGATTTGATTCAGACTACGATTAGGATTATGGTCTATTACTGTCATACAGTTGGTCTAGTGTTTAGTTTATATCACTCTATCAATACTATAAATTTAAATACATGTAATTGATAAAACATTTGTATGTGCCATTCTCAGCCCCAGATTTGGAGTGTTAAATTAAGTTGTAGTCTTTATTTGGAAGTATAATGCAGACTACTTTCATAATTTATAGTAACTAGTGATACTTATTCTGAAAGTACCAATTTTATTACAAATCCAGGAACTCCAGTGTTTGCTTTTTGGTGGTTTTAAATTCAGCAGTTAAACTGAAATGAGTGAAACAAAGAATATCATAGTACTGTATATGTGTGTTGGCAATATAAAATAAATAATGTGATATGTTTGCTTCATGTAGAGGGACCCATGTTTTTACTAAAATTATTTTTTTACATTTTCTATTAGCACTGTGCTTTGGTGGCATTAAATTTCAAGGGTTTTTCTATAAGGAGATGAAGCTGTTTCTTTCTTCATCTAAACTACAATTCTTTTATGTTTAATTTTTTAACCTCTGCATATACATTTTCAGAGCACTTTTCCTTAGTAAGATCAAACTTGAATTAATTAAAGTCTCTGTAGATTAAGCTAAATTACATGATCTCAGCCTTATGTAATTTGCTCTTTATTTTGAGAATGATCATATTGTGACAACACAGAGGACTTTATTCTTCAACAAACCATAAAAAGCAGCCAGTTTTAAGGCCTTGCTTTAACAGGAATCTTTTCATGAAAGGTGTGTCTCACTCCAGCCTAATTCTTGATGTTTATTGTATCTTCTTGTCATTTTAATTTTTTTTCTGCTTTTATTTTTTTATGTCATGCAGGTAAGCCTTGATTCAAGAGTCCGTGAAGTCATTAACAGGAAAATGCAGGAGCCCACCTCTCAAACATTTGAAGATGCGCAGCTTCAAATTTACACCCTAATGCACAGAGACTCCTACCCTAGGTTTCTGAACTCGCCTATATACAAGTCACTGCTTCAGAGTGGTTCTCGTTCCTCCTCAGAGTCATAGGCCCCCTCTCTCCACTGCACAACCACTAAGGAGAATCCAGATCCTTATGGATTTTATTTTTTACCCCTTTTTAACTTGCCATGTTGGAATTGCTGATCTACAGACTAACTGGAAGAAACAGGGTCATCACATGATATTCTTCTATCATTCCACTACTATGCGTACAGCTACTACAGCGTTTACTACTGATTTTTATTCTTTTTTTTTTCCCTGATGCCACACGAATGGAGGAGAACTGTAAAGAACGCTGCAATAAGACGCTGGAGCCTATTAAAAGTTCTAAAACGGTGGTAGAGCTGATCACCGCTGGCCTTTTACTCTTGTGAACCTGACCTTTCCACTGTCTTTCTGGTGTGTTTGTTGATGTTGATGAGGTGGGAGTTTAAATTGACCTGAACTAGGGGTGGGGCTGCCAGCGATTGTTTACAAAGCTAAAGAAAGGACGATTAGGGTTTACCGTGCTAAAATGCATCCCAGTGTCAAGTAGACAATGCCACTGTTTAATACATGTACTCATATTCGGGGTGTATAAATCAGTTTGGAACATCAAGCTTTGCAGTCCAGCTAATTCATTATGAAAGAAGCCCATATTCTGTGGAATATTCTGTGGAAAATTATGTCAAAGGCTCTAATTTCTGAGGTGAGGTGCTATAGAGCTTCTAGCTCCCACACTTACTGTAACTGATCCCTTCCCAAAACACATAGGGGATAAAATATCGAATGACGGCTGTTTTTTGTTGCTGCTGTTGTTGTTGTTGTTGTGCATGGTTTAGCTGTTTAATTGTCTAAAAAAATCAAAGATTATTTTTTTCAGGTCATTTTAAAATGTTAAATACTATTTGAGCTGGTGAAGAATAAACATCAGCAGCAGCCTTTGGATCAGAAGGCTTTAGCTGCAGTAGAGTCACCCAGTGGAAAGCAACTACTTTCAAACAAAGTACAGCCAGTAAACTAGCGTTTTATGGTCATTATCACTCGTGTTGCGGACAGCAGTCTGGCATGGGCATACTGAAGGTACCTCATGCTGCGTTGCGAGAATTGCTAGACTGGATTCCACAGAACCAAGAAGGCAGGGTCTTTCATAATAAATGACACTTGCAACTGCTTACTTAGTTTACGGATTGGGTTTGTGCACAGTCAGATTCTATCAAAGTTTAAAAAAGGTTGCAAAGAGAATATTTGACAAGATAGCCAAATAACGAAAGACCACCAAAGGGGTGTTTTAGTTAAAGTTTTAATAGTGTTACTCTTACATGGATCAAAGGTGTAAAAGTGGGCAAAATGATTTTAATGTATTCATTTTTAAATTAAATTCACCTGAGGCATTTGTTCCCTATTAAATGCATATGTGTATGCAGCTGTGTGTATGTGTATATACATAGAATATGTATCTTACATAGAACACCTCTCAGGGTTATGGTGTCTTTTAAGAGCAAGCAGTCGGCAAGAATTATGGGAATGTAAATATTAATTTGCTCTGTCCCTTTCACAGCATTAGAAAGCGGATCCTTTTAGGAAGACTTTTAGACAAGGCAGAAACAGAAGTATGTGTAGACAGTTCAGCTTTCAAGCATCTTGAAATGGCCAGAGATAATTAATAATCAAATTCCAATTATGTATATCATATATATATATGCACAGTGTATATACATATAATGTACTGTATGTGTGTTCCTGAGTGTAGATTGGTACTCATAATCAGTATGATAAATTAGGGACATACCATTGTTGCTGTTCCAGTTTGCTATCCACTGCTCTGTTGGAGAGAGGTGATTGTACATCTGGCACTGTACCCAGTTCTTGAAATATTATTCATATAACCTATACGTCCTTTGAAATCATTCTGTCGATATGCACTAACACGTTTTCATGTGTTTCTGCAGCATAAATCTGAGGGCAACTGTATTACCTCCAGCTCTTGCGAAGCTTTTGATATAATTCTTGACGATATCAGAAAGGAACATTTTTTAGGCATCTCTCCTTAACGGATGACGTTCAGTAAGTCTTCTTTCCCATAATGTGCCTCAGTCCCGACACAGTGGGATCACTTCTGTGGAAGGAAGAGCCTTATATTTTAATTAGCAGTGTGCATCAGGCTGATATTGACAAGAAATACATATCAGTTATTAGTTAAACCTGACAGATAAGCCTTGCTGAGTTACCAAATAGTTACAGTTTACCCAGTCATACATTTTCTGCATCTTTTATACAGATCACAATGTGGTTTTTTAAGGTATATTTATTGTACTATGTACAAAGGGAGGTAAAAAAACATTTTTTCTGTACCGATCCCGTGTTTTAAGTGAACATTGCTCCATACCTAAGAAATGACCTTTGGCTAATTTGCTACACTTACATGTGCTTAAAAATTGACCAGCCATTTAGAAAATATATATATGTGTATTCTAAAACCACTTGTATAGATTTATTGTCAGAGAAATTTTTTTGTTATTTTCTTCAAAAAAAAGTGTAATATATTTTTTACTTCACAGGCTACAACTTTGGCATTTGATTTGCCAAAAAAAATGCCTTTATCAGATAAGGTAACTAAGACTAAAATAATCTTAATTTTATCTAAATATTTATAATGTTGCTGCTTCTGGGGGATATAGTGATTAATAGCTTTATATTTCTAAGCCCTTGCAAGTTTATATTACACTGTGGTTGAGCTCTGCAACTTTTTTCCAATTCTTTACTTTTCTTAAAGAATACCGGCTTACCACAAAAAACCTTCCTCTGAAATTTTTCGTTTTTGCTTTATTAAATACAAGAAGTATCGCATGCATTGTTTGTAATTATAACATTGGAAAAAAATATTTTTTAGTACTTTGTCAAATAAAACAGAGGCTTTCCTGTACATTTGACACGATTGCCCTGTTCTGTTACTTCAAGCCATTATCAGTTAGTACATCCCCAGTATACACTGAAGATAGCCAAGAATGCATCAAGTGAAGAGTCTGGCTGTGTGTTCATGCAGAGATGAGAGATGTTTGTGTAACGTTTACAACTGAGAAAAAAAAGCTTTTTAAGCATTCTAATTTGCAATATTCCTTGCAAAAAAATTAATAATTTTTCATTTTAGAACAGTTTTTTTTTAATTTAATGAGTATTTAAAAAGAAGCGCTGCAATTTTTAATGCTCTTCTTTTAGAGTAACAAATGCTTCGGGTGTAAAATTATTTTTCTGCTTTGAGGTTTAAAATGATGTGCATCATGAGAATTTATATATATGTGTATATACATTAATTATTAGATATATAAACATATATATATATATTTTGGGGGATGAATGCTATGTTTACCATGTTAAGTGAAGTGATTGTTGCCTGTCCAGAAAGTGCAAGGTTTCTGTGATTTTTGCTGAAGGCTTTTCATGCCATGAAGACCCTATGCCCTTTAACATAGTTTCTCGACACTCGATGTACTCAGGATCATGAAGAGACTGCCAGTTTGGAGGCTTAGTTTCTAATTGACTATACAGCTGTGTTGGCTAGCTTTGTGAAAGCAGAGCATTGTTGCGCCGTGTTTAGAATGCATGTTCTGTCACTCTCCAGATGATCTGACAGGTGGCTTGCATCTCATATGGAAAAATATAAAAATAAAAAGACAAAGAAACAGAGCTCCCTGTGGTTTCATGTAAGAAAATTATTTTCCCAAATCAGGAGAATGGATCTGTAGGCTAGACTCCCAAATTTCAGTTAATCTAACTTTAAATACAATGTTGATCTGTGATGGTGTGTGCGGTTTGGACTTGTACAGTATAACTGTCTGGTTCAGAGAAGTTAGCTCCCTTCTCTAGCATATTGTTTGTTAAAAAAGGAAACCACACACTTTTGCACCTGTTCAAAATGTTGAATAATGCCAATATACATTGGTCATCTTTCAAGGTGTAAAAAGTCTTTGGCAAGACACAGGACATTGCTGTTGTTCATTTATTGTGATCATGAAAAAAGACTACTCCTTCAGGTCTAGAAAACAATTACATGCCATTTATAAACTATTAGGCTCTCAAATGTTGTTGGGTTCCATTTGACTGTTTTCTGTCAATATATCCAGACAATGCCGTGTCTTACAGGTACAATGTATAGAACTTTTTTTGGTTGACTGTCTTTCTTTAGTTTGGTCTTGTGCTATTACACGTTGATTCGAAATGTTCAGCAAATAGCTACTTTCATATGATTTCCAGTTTGGTGTAATGAGAAATTGCAGCACAGTTCAATCTCTGTAGTTTCGTGTTAGTTAGTAATCATACCTGTAATTCATTGCCACTGCTGCTCTTAACTCTCACCCTGGAATGGTGGGTATTCATCCTAATACCGTATGAGGTTTATAACTGTTACTGTATCTTTCCCTTTTGTGAACTAAAAATGTTTTCACCATATTTGAGGAAGAAGTAAGAAATTGAAATATATAGATATGTTACAAATCCAAATATAATGTTGATCCCTAGTTTTTGGTATTTGAAAAAGGTTAGTAAACTTAATAAGTTTTAGACATATTCTAAATTGCACACAGATAAAAAACGTTATTTAACAATGACTGAGAGAGGTGCTGAGAGACAAGCAGTTGCACAATAAAGAGAAGCAATTATTCCAAGTGTTTAACAAACCTCAAGTTTACATGAAGTGGGCATTAATTATAACGCATGGTACAGTTATGGCGAAATGTAGCTAAGGTGGCTCACTGTGTTAAATTTTACCAACCCCCCCCCCCATCCTCCTCCGACCCAAACCCCTGATTCAGCAGTCAGCAACTGGCCTGGGGATTTCTAGATAACGGTGCTTTGAAAATGCGTCAGGTGTCTAGTATATATTTTTAAGACATTCATGTTTTTATAAACTGTGAAATTATTATTAGCAGTAAACAAGTTTAACCAAAAGTGGTTATTTGTACTTTTTTTTCCCTCTGGCTTATTTATGTTTTGTTAAAAATTCTCATTTGTCCAGGTGAGCAGCCAATTTTGCGCCTTATTTTAAAGGAGATGGTTGAAATCTACACCAGCCCAATCAGCTTCCTTTCCTCTCTCTCTTTTGAGCCTTCCTGGCTGCACGTTGTGGCGTATGCTTTTGAGAAGCCTTGTTTAGAAGGGTTTGCAGGTTACATGCATGAGGTCAGAGTGCCATAGAAAGTGTTTTTCAACCGATTTCAGTCTTCTGTGTCAGACTTTTGAACAGTTATTTATTAGTGTTCTTTTTTTATCATGTTTGAAATACATGGATGAACTACAGGACCAAATTTTTATTTTTTTAATTTGTATTAATCTGTTGCAAGGGTCTATAAGCAACCCAGGTATGTTCATAAATTTCGTAGTTACTGCTCCACTTTTCCAGTCGGTTGTATTGAGGCCTAAGATAACATAAGACCTCGGAATTATCATTAACCTAGACTGGGATGACCTGTAAGTCTACATAATGGTGGATAAAATTTGCAAATATCTGTTTAATTATTCAAATAAAAAAAAATGTTTTATTCACATATGCTGTACAGGATGCTCTTTGCTTCAGAAATGTCTGGAAGTGAAACCAATTTTATGTACAAAGTTGAAAGGTAACTAGTGAAACTTGATCTTTAACAATAAAAGGCAAACAATGGACAAGGATTTCTAGGTACAATCAAAACTTTTGTAAAAAAAAAGCCAACAAAATACGGTTCATTTTTTTAATGAATAGTTTGTGTGTTAATAATACAATCAATAAGGTTATTTTTGCTGGGGGGGAACAATTTTTCCCTTCTGTTGAATTAATATTCTTAACCCTTTCCTTGAGTTTTACAGTTGTGAATGTTCCTTTTGGCTTGTTTTGTTGTTTTTTTTTTATTTGCAGTGAGTCGACTATTGTATAAGTGCTTTTAGGTTACATTTTAATTGGATCAATAGACATCACATTACAAATGAGCTCAGTCTTTCACTGGCCCTATCCAAAAACATTGGATATACTGTAGAACCTGGGAGCATTAGATCTATAAAAATAACAGGAAGATTATAGATATGCAGGAGACCATACACATGGTGTGTCACAGGGCTTCGGCAAACAGCCCTTCCCAGATCTCCACCGTTGTCAAGTAAACTCTCCCTTCCAGGAATCTGTCCCTTTTCTGCCCAGTGGCACAAACACACGTGGGTTCAAATTGTAACAACCACTGTCACTTACCAGTACACTTTTCTCCACAGGTGCAAAGGCTTACAACAATGGCATAAAAAGCATGACATTTCAAAACCAGTTTTTTTCCTACCTTTCAAGACTGCTCTCAAGAAACTAGCGGCCTTGAAGTACAATGACCCTTTAGAAAGAATCTTTTTTTAATCAAAATTGGATATGTAAATATACTGTATTAGACATGAACCGATGGTAAAAATTCAAAATATTTCCACTTATTGAACCAGATAATAAAATAAACTTGTAGTAAACAATGTAGATTACAATTTTAAACTCATTTTGGGGGGTTATGGATTTGATAATTAATGTTTTAAAATACCTGTTAGCCATTTGCACCATGGTGTGAGAGAAGCTGCCTTATGGAGGAAAGCTCAGTGAAGTGAAAGAGCCACTTTGCATTGTCTGGTGTGCAAAAAATTTCTTTGATAGCTTCCAGCATTCATAAAACTTTTCCTTGGTTACTGAACTGCAAACAGACAGAACTGATATAAACCATATTTTTGAAAGATCTGTTTCTGTCATAGTTTAAATGCTGCCTGTGCAGTTCCTATATTTTCCATCTCTTTTCCTTGGACACAATATCTGTAATAGGGAATAGGTCACAGTTAGATCTTTGCTCTTCATGGAGAAAATCTCATTCATCCCCTATTAACCTCATCCCACATTCCAACAGGGCCAGAGCTTAACTGCAAAGCAAGCAGTGCAAGTGCCTCAGTAACAACAATATTAAGTATCCTTTCAACTGCATTAAGACAGATTTGATGTGTTATTACTGTAATAGCTCTATTCAGACTGAAGTTTAACTTGGTTTGTGCTGTTTTATTTTCAAACCGCTGTTCCTATCTGTGGCTAATTGCAACAAATTCCAAATGAGTTTGGCATGGGCATTGTCATCGGGCACACCCTAGTTTGGGGAAGCCATTAACCTACGCAAGTTTGTTTTCTACATTTTCTGCCAAGACAGGCAAGTGTCTATGGGACTCAGAATGGTACCATCTACTAGTCTCGTAATTTATTTATTTTTTGTCACTTGTAAAACATTCACCCCAAAAGTCCCAAAACCATTAATGATACATTTCAGTTTTTAAATTAATATAATTCAGTCGCTGAACTGTGGTGAGGCACTTAGCCTAGACAAGGAGAACATACTATTGGATGTGACGTTTTCCGCTAAGATTTCAAACCTCAGACTTTGAAGGCTTAACTTATGACAGGCTTTTACACTGATGAACCGCTGTATGTCACTATGTAAGCATCTAGGCTGTGTTGCAAAAAAAGTGTTCTGAGCAATGTAGGCCCTTTTTTTTGTTATACTGTATAACATACTGTAGAGTGATCTGTTCTTGGCACTGGTCATTGTTCCACTTGTATAAAATATAGCAAGACTATAACCTCTGTAGATGAAATGTTTCATTCATAATATCTAAAATGTAGCCAAAGTCTTGCTCTTTCCAACGGTGGCAACTCCTTACTACTGTATTACTGGATTTGAAAAGCCTGTGTAATTCACTGATGTCTAAAACAGATAATTTAAAAAGATATTTAAAAAATGAATTCTACCCTGCATTCATTTTTAAGCTATTCAAATTTGCTCTGCACAGAATTATAAAAAATAACGGTCATAGTTTTGCTGTCATTAAGGGCTCCTTATTTTCCATTTTCCTTCCAAGACATAACATAAAAATGTTTGCTTCATTCATGAATACGTCATTTTGACACTGCTCTTATTCATCTTGAGAGATTCATTGTTTCATTAATGGAACAAGAAATGAAGTTTCAAAACACCTGTGCATAATGCAAAAAAAGAATGTATTCCAATTCATGCAGGGTAAAATGCATTTTTAATGCATACATATTATATTAAACAGGAATCCACTCTTAAAAAGCTGTGACTGCATGTTTCATAATTATTCTGTACCATTCAAAATTTTTAGGAAGCATTTATGATGTTTTTATCCTCTGAAACACCAGTTTTCCCTGATTGTTTTACAGTGGTGTATGTTTAAGTGCCCAAAAACTTTCTTGACTGCTGTAATAGGTATGTTATGTATTGTATGTTGGATTGCAGCAAGTTTTTAACTTTGATTTAGTATCAACATTTTTTGGGGGAAATTATACTTGTAGCAGATTAAGCTGTGCCAATTACAATATCATACATTTCGGGCTTAAAATGTATTTGAACCTAAATGTATATTTGTGCAAAAGTAAATGTTAAAATTGAACCCTGGCTTGAAGAATGTACTTAATCGAAGTTCTGGGAAGTTGTTTGTTATTCTGGAAAGACATGGCTGCCCTAGGGTATTAAGTTTACAATTGCAGACATTCTTCAATTAAAATGCCTCCAGAGGTTTTTTTTATCAACCTTGTGTATTGTATGAGTTCACCTTAACTCATGCAATTTGGTAATTGTACTTGGTTTTTATTTCAATTGAGCTGCATGAAATTTTAATACACTTTACTGAGGAGTATGTTTTAAAACAAAAAGAAGTATTTACATTGAAATGTGTTGATTCAGGGGAATGGACACTGCAGCTTTCGAAGCTTTTCTTAATTTTGCTGCTAAATTCCCTGGTCAGGACCGATTTACTGAAATTATTTACGGGGAAGTCATTTTTTTTTACAAATTACTTTTATTTAGACCCCTTTCTTATTTTATAACCATACCCACCCCCCCACACACACACACCCTTACAGGACCTATTGTAGTTTTGCACCTTGTAAACTTTTGTTTCTACTGTTTGAAAAAAAAATAAAATTTAAAGTTAACTAAATGCTTTGCTCTGAATTTATTGCACTGAGGATTACAAAGAACTGAAAACACCAATTAGGAAAACACCGGAAGAAACGTGGCAATCTGTGTCTGATATCACAGTATTTGAAAGTGTGCTTGAAGCAAATTTGCAGAAAGAGGAAATATAGTGGGATGTGGAAATAGGATTATTATTTTGTTTGAAATGCAAAAATTTGAGGGAAGAAACCAGAGCACCCACACAAACATGGGGAGAACATACATTCATGAAGTCATGTTGAAGAACTGTTTTTCATGCATTGATTCAAATTGTTCCCACTTTTGAAGTTGATTCTGGGACTAAGCATTATTTAAGTATGTGGAGAGACACTCATCAATGAAAAATAAAACTGGAATAAAGTTCAACTCATCTGTCCACACTTTTCTGACTTCCTTTTTCTATCAATTGGGTATGTTCTTAAAGGAAAGAATGCTATTGAAACTGCGAAACAACTGCTCAAGCGTAGCACAGCACCCTCTAGTAGCTGTCAGAGGTACTGCAGCTTTAATGTTTATGGCCACAGTAGGTGCTTATGTAACATACTGATGTTTAAGTCGCCTGTATCTCCAATATCATTTGCAATTAAGAGACAATAATAAAGTACATAACAGGCAAGAGTCTGATCATGTTGCCTCAGCATGGTCAGTCAGTTTGCTCCTTCTGTCAACTCCCCAGCTCCCCCATTTATAAGCCACTTTCATAGCACCCTGCTGGAAACCACTTACGATGCCATCTTTATACAAAAAGTGTAATCCTAACAAAAGAACAAAGCCAGTCAATGTAATAAGTTTTAATTAATCGTACAGTACAATATATACAAAAAGTCATTTTCATTGAAAATTTGCACTCAGACTGTAACAATCTGCACGCTTTAATTTTCATTTAAACAGGAATGTGGGAACAGTGTTATACCTTACTTCCACGGTCAAATCAAAACTGGCCACTTCAGCAAGTCATTCTCTGCTCCTACTGATAGCACATGCTGTATTTGGTTCTAGCAGAAGTGAAGGTAAAGTGAAGCAAGATTGACAAGAATGACAGCCCATGCAATTTACAAAGCTGCACTGTACAGGTCATAATACAACACTTCAAGGAAAAGCTGGTAGTGTAGTAGAGCCGAGTAATAAAAATCACAACAATGCAAAAGGCACAAGATTATAAAGGCCAAAATAAGTTATAAGGCCCAAGAACAGACTCTTTTCCCCCTATAAATCAAAACATGTACAGTATATGGAAGTACAATTTCTTCAAATAAAAAGTCAAACCTTACTTTTTTGCAGATACAGTACTTTAGATCCTATTTTGTAAAAAAAACAATATAATGCTCTTCATAGTGACTTTTCAAAAATCATTTCTGTATTTGTAGCAAAACAATATATCGTATTGAAGTTTCCAAATCCCAACATCTTGCATGGAATTCACAAAATCTTCTGAGCTTTAACAGAACTGTAAAACAGAAAAACCCAGATTTATTTATTTTGCAAGTACAAGAAACTTATTCAGCTAAAAGCAAATGACACCTATTGAAGACTTAAAATCACACCATAGTACACCATTAAATTATCTGATGAACTAGAAATGTAATAAATCTGTTAAGGACAAACATGCAGACATTAATCAACTAGTGATCCTTGTACCATTATTTGCCAAATCCACACAGTTACCAAAATCACCACAGAGAAAGTTTAAATGTAGTTTTCAGATTCACTATAGGAAAAGCAATAAAATGTACCTTCCATCGGTTTCCACACTCGTTACACACAACAAATGTGGTCATAGGTTCATCTGCACTGCGGGTTTGCACCTAAAACAAAAACACCATTATCATTAAAAAATGAAAATGTAGTAAAAAAAATCCCTCTTGTATTTTAAGAGCCTTGAATTCCAGCTACTTTTCCTTGATCATCAATACTAAAAAAAGATATGCGAGATTTGCAAAACTTACGATGCTTCAAACACAATACAAATGGAGTATACTGTATACTGTAGTGAGTGAAAAAAAGTCAATGGAGCATTGCAACCCAGTGATAAATAAAAATCTCTTTAAGACTGGAAATAAACCAGCTCTGGGTTGTTTTTAGACATCAAAACATCACTTAGACATCAATGAAATTTCTGCTTCAGCTTAATCTGTACTTAAAGCACTCCTGAAGCCTACTTAAAAAACCCAAATATTAAGCGTCCTATTGAAATTTACTATAAAAATGCATTCAAATGTTATTAAATTGCCATTTTAGTATACATTTAATTCTAAAATTGTTACTTAAAGTGCTATTTAATAACTACCATCAAACTACAAAATCAAAAAGGTCATTTTTTGGGATTTCAATACTGATGGCCATGTGTCAGGGTAAGAAATTTGGAAACGTCAACAATAACCTGCCTTAAAATAGAACAATTTTAATAGTACAATTTAAAATGCATTCTGACTGGGAGCCTGGTGGACCAAATTATTCCAATGAATTGACGCCCCCCCCAGTCTCAGGTAAACTGTGACTTTCAGAAGATAGGCAGGAAGCACCCAAAGCATCCCTGTGAGTGCAGCCCCAGGGACAGACGTAGGAGTACCTGGGTGTAGGTGCAGTTCTTCTTCTTACACTTCCCACACACAAACATGTCCGTCTCCGTGCCTCCGACCTTGGAGAGCTGGTGCTCCCTGATCGACTCCTTGGTGAGGGCCTTCCTCATCTCCTTCAGCTCCGCGCTGGCCATCTCCTGCAACCAAAACGCCCAACAGCTGTGAGCATGCTGTACATTCTTCTCACCTCCAAAACCTCAAGGCTGAAAAAAGGAGACGTTACAAAGAATGTAGTTACGGCTGAGTGTAGTTTACAAACGGCGCTTCAGATGATAAAGTTCCATCTACTCCTATAGTCACCTTCCTCATCTTCTTCGACTGTTTATTGCATAAGATTTCGTGGGGTGAACTGGGCTCTGGACTTGGAACAGGAAGGCTGTGGGTTCAAATCCCAGGTGCAACACTGCTGTGGCACCCTGAAGCAAAGCCCTTTGCTTCTGGGGAAACGGGTACAAATGGAACTTGCTTTTAAATAATTATTATAAATATAATGAGAGGAGCCTTCTGGAATTACAAAACTGTAATTCAAGGTTCCAGAAATTTGCAAGACAAGGTAAATATGCAGGAAGTAAACCTAAACTAAGTGGCTTAGACTAAGCCACCTGAAGAAGGCTCCACAGCCGAAACGCGTTTTCTTTCTTCTCCTTTCAGCATTGAATAAACCTATTACTTGTTCCTTTGCAGTCTACGCATGCTGACACAGCCACGCACCTGAACTACGTCAACCTACTTCTGCTGCGACCCGCTATGCCTTCCTCCAAATCTTTTTCTAGATCTCTTCGTCATTCCTCCTCCTCCTCCATGGGCTACTTGCCCCCCCCACTCTTACTTTACCAGCATCCCGTCTCTTCACAGCAGTCTGTTCCAAGACCAGGCTTTCTAACCACCTCCTATTCCTTTACAGGTATTAAACTAAAGATGTCGATCGTGTTATTTTGGACACACTTGATGGTAAGGGAAGCTAATCTTTGTCTTGTAACACCACCAGCACCCTGGGAGAGGAAGGGCTCACCTCAGCGGTCATGGTAGCGATGCGCTCTGCAGAGATGCTCCCACACAGGACACTTCTCCTCAGATCCGGGTTCTTCTGGTCCTTCAGGTTGGAAATCCTGCTCCTCAGCCTGCTTTTGTATTTCATGTCTGTGGATTTGAACTCTCTGTAGATACGTAACCGCCAGTCAAGGACTGCCAACACGCCAAAGAGGCACGTCATGTTTTTAAAGCCCAGTGCCACCAGATGCAGGAAGACAAATGTAGTAGAAAAAAAAACTCTGGATCAGTGCCTTTCATAGTGCACTGGCAACAGCACTTCAGCACTGGGACAATGCAAATGAATTGCATTCTATTTTGGGGAATGCTTAGCACAGCAACCAGGGCATTGAGCACTGAGCAGTTTCACTGCCTATAATTATAAAGGTAAAGATTTAAAAGGAAGGCTATGCAAATCCATCAATTTCCAAATGTCATTTCTTGAAAACTGCCCATAAGGTGAAATTCCGTAAACTGAAAATAATTCCCATTATTTAACATGTGAAATCGTCAAAGAAGACTATTTTTTCATGATAAGTACAAAACTTATCTTATTAAGTTAGTACAGTAGTTAAGAAGAGAGAATGGGTGGTGGGTGAGGTCTTCTGTTTGGCTACAAAGCATGCACCTTTGTTGTCGCCAAATCTCTTTGGCAGGTATGAAAATGCACACGTGGTCAAAGTGAAAATTTGGAAGTAGGGATTAGGATATCGAGGAACAGCTGTACATTCACAGTAGAAAAAGTAATTTAAAAAAGCAAACATGAAAAGTTTAGTTATGAAGTGTTCATTATAGCTAGAATTACAGGATTCAACGTAAATTTAACGTCCAATAATAATGTCAAGGCTTCTTTTTAGTGAGGCAAAATTCTGAATGATCCATCAGGTAGGTGGTTCTATATCTGGCAGTGTAGCAACTGCATTAAACAGCAATATTCTGCATGTATTGTTTTGTCCTATAAAAACAAATTGTATGTGGCATGTACTGTAAGGTGCTCTACTGTGCAAGCAGATATGTCAAAGACCACTGAACCTCTACAAAATTAAAACTAAAAACCAAGGCAGAGAAAATACACCAACTCCACCACCAACAGATAGGTGACCTAGTATGTTTCACCTTTTACCTGTTCTGCACTTGAAAAGCCTTTTGAAATCACCATGTTTAATTTTTCTAACACATGACTGAGTGAGGTGCCTTATGGGTGATCTATGGTTTATGGCTGTCCAACTTTCTTATAATAGATAAAAGTTCCGTTTTTGGCTAAATGTTTTCCTAACACTGTGTTGTCACCATTATCATTTGTTCCCACTTCCACTGTCAGTTCTGCCATAGTGATACTGTTTTTTATCACCTTTGATGCATGTTTCAAACAGTTTAAAAGCCACAATAACATTAACTTTCTATTTTTCTGAAGGAAAACAACATACCGCACCTTCAAGACTGATGAAAAATTCTGTCTGACAGTATTTTATTTTCAAAGGATATAATCTTCAATTTGTGCCGCCAAGTGCTCACAGTCAGTTCCAATTGCTTTATAATCATCTGTTAAAAAATGTATTTAAAAAAAGTTATTAATGGTAAATACAGGCTTCGTGGTTCAAGAAAGCATGAACAGTGAATAAGCTGTTCCCTTCAGGACACTAATCACACATGGTAGAGTCTGGATCATTAAGCCACATATAAAATTAGACATGACATTTTAGTGACATGGACACTATAGTACAACATCAATTGTGCAGGGATACCTTTCTTTAAAGAAAGAATAGTCCCTTAAATTAACTTTTATACCCTAAAATACATTAAAATGACATTATGAAGTAGGAAATAAATGATTGTCATGGGATAATCTTTGTTCACATAAGGATGAACAAAGAACATTGTTTAATAACCTTACATTTCACAAAGAATAAGGTAATTCTTTCATCACCGCTATGAGAATCAAATGTCATCTTTGACAGTAGTAAGACTAAATGTCATGTAATAAAGATAAATTCCTTATTTTGTGAATTGGATTAGATTGCAGGATTTTTTTATATATTTTTTTAAACCTGCAGCTTAAAAAAATGTTTTATAGATCAGCTAAGGTCATTATCCACTATGCCCTAATCGACACTTCCATTTTAGAGAACATCAAGCCATCTTCCACATGTACTTTTCATATGAATGGCCTTAGGACCTCATATGCCCCACTTGTTACGCAATGTGATCACAATACAGTTATTATACAGATATATTTGCACTAATGGGATGATGAGAGCTTCTTGTGAGACAAACTCAGGTCCTGCAATTGATCTTTTCCAAAAATAAAGTATTACACAATAATGAAATCTTTTAATAAATCACCCCTTCAAGCTTGATGTTTGCAATTTACAAAGCTAAAAAAAGGCTGTGCATGAGTGCACAATGCCAAACCAAGCTAAATCTTCACACAAGCATGAATCCTGCTGAATACTTTAACAGGGCTGTATGGATATGCAGCAGCTTGCAGACAACTGTTAACTGTTAACAAGCTCATACCTTATGCACACTGTGCAATACAGGGCTTCATATACAGTAGGTACAGTATTCCTACTGTAGGCTTGAAACCTAGTCATCATAACTCAGTTTTCAATTTCTGACTTCTGGTGATTTTACCACTACAACAGTTCTTCATTTTAAACGTTTTGCTCTCCAGAACATTCAGAAATTCAGAACACCTTGCTGAAATTACTCACTGACCCAGGACAGGGAGGTGCACTCAGCATTCCAACAGAGAGGTGCCAAATTATTTATCATGTGAACAGCTGGTTCAGGCAACACAGGTGGTTAAAAAGAGTGCATGCAGTGTAGTTCTATAAACACTAGTAAAGGGAGTAAAGGATGATCCTCAAGTTAACCACATGCTATACTCACCATCTGTCTGCAAAGCTGCTACCAGTAGTTCCCTGCATTTGTTGCGCACACTGTCTGTGGTCACTGGTGCCGGGGGGAAAGTGGTGATTTTTGGAGTGGTTGGAGTAGTTGGGGTCTTTGGCGTTTCTTGATTTTTGCTTGAGAAGAAGACAAACGCCACCATTCTTCAAATTGTCAATGAAATCTTTCACCAAGTGAGTAGGTCTTTGAAAAATGTTTAAACAATTAAAATATGCACACAATATAATATTTTAAAACTCGCAAGCCTTCAAAAATGCTGGATGACAGGGAACAACATAGGACCTGCTGCTCGTTAGGAATTCATTCTTAAAAAACAAAAGATAAAAAAAATGCTTGACTAGTACATTGGAAGTCATGCGGACTATTTCCAATCATCTGCTCATCCTCCTTCTCATCACCAAACAAGAACTAGAACCTACTGTACCTCTGGTCACTGGATTCCACAATGTTCCTTGAAGAGGACGAAGATGAAGAACACTCTTTTTTCTTGTCATCCGATTTGTTTTCAGAACCATCTAAATGATAACATTTTCCCAGTTAAATACACAGTGCTGACATCCAGGAGCATGATCAATTCTCAATAGAAAGCAAGACGCCATTTAATCACAAATGTCTTCACAGATATGAGAGGGCATACACACAAACTTCTAGGATATGCATTTAAAACTGAGACCAGAAGGCCATGATTGTGGTTCATCAACCACGCTGACATCTTTCAAGCAGCGCCTAAATGAGTTCCTCAAACCTAATTAGAAGCCGAAAAGGCTAAACAGAGCAAATGGCCTCCTCCTGCTTGTAACCTCTTATCGTCTATTGAGATGATCCACTGGGAACCTTTGGATGGAACCAAGGACTTCCATTATGCAAAACAGGCTGCTAATGTATCAGCTGTGTACAGCGGCCCGACTTGGCTGAAGACAGACATGGTATGCACAGCAGCCCCTACAAGCTAACTCTGGCTCCTGTAAACACAAAGATTGTAAAGACAGACCAGGTAGATCAACCCTAATTAGAGACCCATTCTTCCACGTCATTACAGCAGCTTTTCAGATTCACAAGGTCTATACACATTTCCATCTACATCAGAAACTGCAGAAAACAATGAAATCTCGCCATCTCCCTAAACCTTGGAAATAAATGTGGTTTAAATAGATTATTTACAACTCTATATATACTGTGGCAAAAAAAAAACAAGCAAAGCAAACCTTCACATTAGCATTTCTCAACTAATGTGCCTTCAGACATTAACAGGGTGCACCTTTAAAACTCTGAACAAATCACATATGAGAAAATAAAAAAAACTAAATATTTTTATATATATACTGTATTAATGTTGTGGAGTAACCAAAGTCTCATGTTACATGTTCAGTGTATACAAAGAAGATAGAGGCCACACTTAAAGATCATCCATAAGGGAATGGCGTGTGGCACAAATTCAATTTTTTAAGCTTGACATAGCAAAATAAAAACAGAGAACATCTCAGTTCTTCCCCCATCATACATTCCTGAGACTTGTTTATAATATTTTAATAATGTGCTTGGGCCTATTACGTGTGTGCGCCCAGGCGGTGTGCCGCAATTTTTTTTAATTTACTGCATAAAATTGAACGGCGGAATGGAAATGGTTGAGAAGCACTACTTTATGTAAATCTGAAACAGAAAATTCATTACCGAGCAGCTTTTTCCACGATTTAATGAGAGATTTGGCTAAAGTCTGGACTTCTTCATCATTGCTCTGCTTTCTCACCGCATTAACAGACATCCCAATCCTTGTAGACTGTAAAATACAGAACATAACATTCAAACATGCAGAAAACACTTTGTATCTGTCTCCTTTCTGTCTCGAATAATAAAAAAAAAATCCTAAAAGAAATCCCAAAGTAATGTAAAAGCTAAACATTCAGTCAAGATAAAAATGGGATTCACAACCTGAATCAATCAGTAAAGTCATTCATTTGGGGTTCAGGTTGTGCCCTAGAGTCTCCCAGACACTCATTCTGGCCTGTACCACTACTCAGCTGCAGGAATAATTCCCTAAGTGGAAGCCCATTGTAGTGTTGGCTGCACTAGAGTGGCTGATCTTGGCAACTTGGCCAGCAGGGAACTCTGAGATAACCTGGGTGCTACGGGCACTCTGGAGCCCAGCTGGGTGTGGATCGTTGCCACACACACCTTCTCCCTAGGGACGGACAGAGGATCCGAGCAAATCACTGCTTGATAAAAAAAAAAGTGTGATTGTAATCCGAGGCCAATGCTGACATTTATAGGCTCAGCCCAGCATTGTGGCACATTCCTGGTACTGGTCATCCCACACAACTCATCTGGTGGAGATTTCAGGCACACAATCCCTATCCAGTTCAAAACCAGGGATTGTGTGTCCAGTGCAAAATAAAAATATAATCTGGAAATACTCAAAAACTGATGCCTATCTAGATAAAAGGCCAACAACACGTTTTACAAACTGCCTAGGGTGGATTAATTGCACATTGCATGCACTTTATAAAGTAATTCTTAATAAGCCTTTTTAAAAGCAATACTATAAATACTCATGTGAGAGCAACATACAGTAATTGGTCCAGAGCACACTGCCCTGCTATACAGTACAGTTACAGCAAGGTGGATGAAACCTTAAAATCTATATATTAATAGCAACCAAGTGAGCATGATGGCCTTCTTTCATTGGTACCTCCTCGTGTTTTGAAAGTTACAATTTTGATTTCTGTCATTTCTAATGTTATGATTGCTCTAACTCACCTGCAACGTCTCTAATGACATTTTTATATTTTTTAGTTCTTTCAGCAGGTCCACAGCTCCATCCTAAAAAGATTAAAAGTGAAGTAAATAATTTGCAAACTCCGTGAACTTCAGAAGAATTCAGATACATACAATAAATGCAAGGCACCGCCGGTAGAATCAAAACCGAGACTTTCGCTTTCATTTCTTCCTAGGCAAATTCACGCGGGACTCTTAAACAGTGCGTGACTGAAATGGAATTCATGATTATATCATTAACGTTTTCTTGCATTGATAACATACATTTCTTGCATAGACTGTATAAACCCTACTGAAATACATTTAGCACTTAAGTCATTCCGTCATTAAACGTTCTATTTCATTTATACCTACAATGTGTTAAACCTGTTTTGCTACAGAAATGACACTTCATACGGATGGGTCGTTCTGTGTCACACTAGTCACAGTATATATATATATCGCCATTTGGGTTAAATAACTGTAGCCGCCCGGGTCATAGCGATCCGGTCCATTGTTTTTAAAGAAAAAGCCTGCTTCCCATTTGTTAAAGACTGACACTACAGAAAAATCTGGACCAATACCAGCTGCCAGCTCATCAGCACATAAACATGCAGATCTCTGATGCAGCCCACTTTTAGCCTTTAATACACGGACGGCACGATTGCTAGCCTACACAAAACTTCACGTTACCCAAGAGGTGTGGTAAATCCCAGCATCGCAGAACAGATTTGCATATTTCGGTACTGATATTTTGGGGATCCATAAGGATTACAGGCACTGCATGTGATGCGATGGCGTCTGCGAACAGTATGAGTGTGCTTACAAATTGACAAAACGGCTATTCTTCGTATCGTTATTATTTCATTACTGCAAAACGGCACAGCCTACATATGCATCCGAACCGTATGAGACTGGAGCTTGTCTCCTTTTCCCAGGTGGGTGCAATCTCGGCCTGAGATATCTGGGAACATGAAACCAGCGGATACTTTGTATTACCAGCGTTACAATTGTGAAATACAGCACAATCAAACAAGACGGATTTTTCTTGCTGAACACGAAAAAGCCCTTCCTATTTATTTAGACTTATCTTGCTATATATATAGGAAACTGCACGCAATAAAGCGCTTGGCCGTCTCCTCGATTGGATTTCGTCAGAATTTTCTACCGAAACAAAGGTGAAACATCTGAACAGCTATCACCTATGTTAAGAGGATGCTATTAAATTGTCCTTACCGTGTTTTTTTTATTGACCATCTTGTCTAGCTTTTTGGCAATACGCTCAACTTCTTGATCCTTCGCCATCTGCATGATTTTTATAAGAGTACTGCAAATGTCGCGAAATAAACCTCCATTTATCTCCCAAACGCTGATCGCACTGCTTTCTCCCTACTCCCGCAGCATTCAGACGAGCTAGGCTGCCGCAGTACAACGACCGTGAATTTGTTTAGCGAGTCCGGAGTGGTCACATGGATCCTGGGATTTGTAGTTACTGAGGTCCCAGTAAGCCGAAACCCACAGTTCCCTTAGGATCATGGGTGCTGTAGTTTTTGTTCTGTGGAATATGTAAATAATAATAATAATAATAATAATAAACTTTATTTTATATGGCGCATTTATATAAAGGTGGCTTCTCAAAGCGCTTTACAGGAATAACAATAAATAAGAAGATTTCACAAGATAGGACACAATTATAATTACAACAATACAACAATAACAATAGAGGAGACCGTGGAAGGTGGTATTAAGAAGAGCAGAGGGGTGAAGAATGGAACCAGTTAAGTAAAGGCTTTTCTGAAGAAGGTTTTGAGTCTGGATTTGAAGGAGTTTAGAGAAGGTGACTCTCTGATATCCTTGGGCAGAGAGGTCCAGAGCTTGGGGGCAGAACAGGAGAAGGCCCTGTCGCCCATACAATGTAGACGGGCTTGGGGGACAGTAAGGAGGGCAGAATTTGAAGAGCGGAGGTTGCGAGGTGGGGAGTAGGGTGATAAAAGTTCAGACAGGTATTGAGGTGCCAAGCTTATAGGTGAGCATGAGGATTTTTCTGGCGAAATGTGACCAGAAAAATAATAAATCTATTTAAAAAATTAAGCATGGTATTTGTAACACTTTGCAATGCATACTGTATGCATTCTGTATATATTAGAAATATATTACAAAATCACAGTAAAGACTTGAAAAGTATTGTAGGTATTGTCTTTGCAAAGTATTAAACTTTGCAACATACTTTGCAACTTTGCAACAATGAAATAAACAACATTTTTTTTTTATTTCTATCCTTTGCTTTGCTGATGTAAAGTTCAACAGAGTAGGCTCATCTTACCTCCATCTGTGCACAAAAGTTGAGCCTTTTACGCTCTGGTTAGAACTGAAAGCTACCACCAGAAAAACCAACAGATGTCGCTGTTGCTTCATTCAGAAGAACCTGCCCTTAATCGCAAGAACATGCAGAATTCTATTTGCTAGAAGCGACTCTTATTTGTGGATTTTTATGCGAATTTTTACATATCTACCTTTAGTGAATTCATTTTCCTGATTAACTGGCCCTATCTGTTGCAGTACAAAAATCTTTTTTGCTTTCTGTACAATAATGTTTCAATTTTTGTCATTAGTGTAGATTAGTTGTTAAGTTTTAAGGCACATTTCCTAATCAGTAAGTGGACTGGAAACTTTAATATATATATTAGACAGTGAAATGAAAAACAAGCGCATGTAATGCAATTCTTTGAGATAAATGATAATAACTATAGTATCAAAGATTATACAAATTAATTTTTAAATATAAAACGTGTTATATTTTTAATCACACACCTGTTTGGTGCATGTTGTACATATTGACTCGACAGGGGTATATATCGCCATGCGAAATAGTTTATCAGAGGCGAAGGCTCTTTGCTAACTTTTTGTTTCTAAATATTTCCAGTCTCTGTACCTTTACATCTGTAGTATCAATTTGTATGAACATTTATTCTGCACATTGTACAGATAATTTCAAGAGATTTGTACAGATTTAGATTTACAACACATAGTTCTTAGATTAAAATCATATGAATATGAATGTCACTGCACTTTCTAAGTAACCTAGATATACTGTACATATTGCGAACAGTGTGTATATAGAGATCAGTGGATTTGTACATGGATTGGATTACAGGCAGATACGTAAGACAGCAAAGCATTATAAATAAAGAGTTATAGTGTTACTGAGTGTCTGTTTATGCATAATAGACCAAAAACCTAATGACAGCATACAGCAGGAGTGGGATTGTGTGTATATCATGGTTGACACAATAGGGGATATCCCTTTCGGGGACTCAACAGACAGAGCTCACATTACTGTTCTGTTACTAGGGTGGTATGCTTTCTAAGGAAACCCCACCTTCGAAGGAGCCAACCTGCCTTACTGGAAATTCCCAGTGCTCCAATCTTTTTAGTACGGGAAGAGAAAACTCATAAATTTCCTCAAGCACTATAGTCCAAAGAAGAAGGTAGAATTACTGATATGATTTAAACTTACAGGTATCAACTAGCACTATTAATTCAGTCAGGAAACCAATCCAATGGAATTCATTTTAAAATGGTCTTGAGGGTCCCCACACTGCATATAAGAAAGATGTTTTTCCTGATTTATTTACGGGATTTCAAATATACTTCTGTACTTTGCAGGTCTTGGCAGTTACCCCAGTGTTTCTGGTAGAATAGTCTCATTAGTTTTAAGTCCACAATTTCATAATAGCAATTTCCCCCTTTTCAGAGAAATGGAAATTCTAAAAGGAAGATGAAGATTATGGTCCTGAAGAAATATCATTGAAAAATATTTGAAAAAAGTAGAATTGATGCCCGTTTTTTAAACAGAACAGTTATTAAGGCTACAACAGTAATACGCATGACAAAGCAGTGAAAGAATAGCATGCATGTTGATTCCTGGGCCAATTTTCTCAGAAGTAAATTAACTTACTAGCATGTACTTGGGCTGTGGGAGGAACCCAGAGCTTCTGGTGAAAACCCACACAAACACAGAGAGAACATACAAGCTCAACACAGATAGAAGCCCAGGAATTAAACCCTGGGATCCAGCACTCCAAGGGAGCAATGCAAACCACAGTGCCACCAGCAGTAAATACAAGTTCCTCTTGAAGCGTGGAACACATTGACATAGAGTTACAATATGGTACAAGAACAGCTTGTGTTGTGTCAGGTATAACATTGTGGTCTAACAAGTATGACCTTTAGTATTTTGTAGTTCTGGTTTCAGTTTGATTGAGTGGAAAGCTTGTGCAAGTTCACGTCACTTGAATATTTCAGTGAAATATGAATGGAATAAAATAATGTTCTTCAACAATTACAGTGACCTTTACTGCTACAAAATTTGTTAAAGAGCTGCTGATGAATGCACTTTGGTCTGCAGTGCATTTTAAATCCCCCCAGCTTCCTTTTATCTTGTGACAACATGCTGCACCTCCATCAATCTGATGTTCCCGTTCTTTCTTACTCGTCAAGAAGAGCTGATAAACCAGTTACTAAGGGCAGTGAGCTGAATTCTGTTGCTTTATGTCATTCTAAAATAATAACAGGAGTTATATTGCAAATAGCTTATCTTAATCCGTTTTCATTTTTCAGTTTTAAAACTTCTAAATAAAAAATGTTGTGTATAGGTGGAATAATAATAATTGCAATCATGCTCTTGAACTCAGTAAAATGACTGAATGAATTTAAGGAGAATTGTTTTTTTTTTTCATTAATAACATCTCAGGGTTTTTTGGGGGCAAATCCTGGAGCCAACAGAGGGAAAATGAAGCAAAGCGATTTGAGTACATGGTATAAGTATCTGCTTACACAATGCTACAGTATGCATTTATACAGTGGTAAAGTTGAAATTATTAAAATAGGAAATGTTGTGATGAGAATATAGTCTACAACCAAGTCTTTTATGCCTTTTCTGATCTAAAAAAATGATACAGCGTGGGCTATAGTATTCTTTCCACAGGGAAGTTCATGTCATGATATCCGTGATTTTTATGGAAAAAACCCTAAAAGAAAATTAGTATTTCCCATCATTAACGCAGCCTTGTGTCTTTTACAGCCTTTCCAGGAGAAATGACGGAAACATGGTCAGAAAAACTGTCTGACATATATAGAATTTCGGCTAATGAATAAAAGAAGACTGAACAACATCCAAGTTTATTTCAAAACAATGAAGCATTATCTTCTTCTGTCAAGGGTCTTTCTGTCTGACGAAAGTACATGGTCTAAATTTTAAACATATGTACCAAAGCACATAAAACACTTTCTTTTAGACATCACTGGAGTCCAAAAGACTATCTCAGATTTGCCTTTTCTCCTTCTCAGCACAAATAGCTCACAGTCCAGTTATTAACCTGTTGTAGTTATATGTGCAGTAGTTTGTTTTAGGCTCCAGCTCTATTGGACCATCATTTATTTCTACTTCATCTACTATTTTGGGGTTTGGAATAGAGAATACATTATGGTCCAGTAAATAGTTCAGTAATGTACTGTAATGGTGCTTCTACAGACGTTCATCACGTTCTTCCAGTGGCACTTCTAGTGCTACTTATGGATTAGGATAATTATTTTCAGGATCATCATGATTTATTCATATTTATTAGAATTGTATGATGCAATCAAACCCGATACTGGCATAGTTACAGATGCATATCCAACACTCCATAGTTGTAATTTGGCAACAAACAATTTTTCCTTAATGTATTGTAATTCTTATTACCAGTGCAAGAGTCAGCATTTACTTTTCCTGTTCAAAACGGAAAAACTTTTCCAGAACTCCACAAAAGGCGTTCACGTATGGTGACCATGTGTCTTTTCATATCAAGCCAGAGATAAGATTACATCATTCTGATCTGAATGAGATTCGACACACCGGGGCTTATCAAGCAGAAGAGGAAATACAGTCACGGTGCGTATTGTAATAGAAAGTTCTAGTTCATTTGCTGAGCGTCTTTCCCATCCCCCTCAACACGGCACCCCCTCTCCCCAGCAACCTTGACCTGCCTCAGTCTGGTATTATTACATTTCCCCTTGGCTGGTAAAAGCAGGATTGCAGACTGCAGCCTGATAAATCCTGCTGTGGGAAGGTTTGAGCTCCTGAACTCTCACACAGTGTTTTCCAATTTAACACTTCCTTCATCGCCCGCTAACCAGATAGATTCGCAAAGGTAGCGTCCAGTGGGGATTCATAAGAATAGAACTGCCTGAAATGCACGGTGGACTTGTTTCCTCTGTTGAGGATCGCTAAGTAAGGCTTTCAAATTCTTATGTACAGTACCTGTTATTTCACTTCATTTCATCCAGGGGTTTTCCCCATGAAGTGTTTCTAGTGTGTCAAAGAATCCAAGCGTTTGCTTCGCACTTTTATTGTTTTCAGACTCACAAATAGCCGAATGTGCCCTTAAAGTATTAAATTCATTTGTGCATGAAT